TCAGACGCAGAAAAAAGGCATCAATCTGGAAGCACAGACAAGAAAAGTTGTCGTTTTTCTTTTCTGTTTCCATTAAGAAAGCTTTTCTCAAACAGGCGTCATTTTGTGACCCCAAAGTGAACTGTGAGCCAAATGGGTTGTACAATCACATTATTACCAATATTATCCAGTCACAAAACAAGGGTATTCTTCTTCAAGCCTGGGTTGTGACTGAAAGAGACGACTTCTGTGAAATTTCCTAAAGGAATGGTTGTTGACGTTAAGTAGCATATGTGGTACGTGCTAATCTTGTTGTTTCCTTTACCTTAGGACAGGACATGTGTAATCACTTCTGTTAGCTTTAAACACAAATCGCAATCTCTCTTTACTGGTACACACTCCAAGAGCTTGTGTGATCTTTTTTTAAAGTATACTTTCCATTGAAAAGCCCGGCCGCGTTCCCTTCTATTAATAGTTTGGTTTTGCCTTGAATGGACTTGTGCAGTTTTATCAAGGGATGAGGCCAGAGCCAAAACGAACAGTGAAGGTAAGCAAATGGGCCGTCATATCTTTGTCACTGGTGTCTCCTTTAACTTTTCAGTTCCTCTCCCACCGTGGAGGACTGGCTGGTTGTGACAACCAATGCAAAACATTGCCGTGGATAGAGTCCTGATAACGTGTTATTACACATGCACATGTTGCACTGTGTTCCTTGTTAGTATACAGTAGGTACTGCATTGACATCCATTCATTTGTGCAGCCCAACCAAAGCCACACTGCCTAACCCAATCCAAAGCTGCTGAAGGTCTAACCTTAAGATCACCCTAAACACCCTAAACCACAGCTCAGGTCTTTCATCTAACTCTAACCCAGGCTCATCCAGTTCTTTCTCATTAAAACCAGTCTTGTTATTAAAATCCCCAATAATTTTATGACACAATAACATTAGCAAAAAATAGAAATGACTGCTGTCTGTCTGTCAGTGGTGTATCTGAACCGTTTGCCCGTGCATTCCCCCAGGTCTGTGCACATTTTCAAAATGCTTATGCATACAGACAAAACAAACAGTTCAACATCACTAGGACTGCATCTTGTCAAGCTACAAAAATCCAGGAAAATATTTAAATTTACTCTACTGCAACCCATTTATGGGTCTATGGATGCAAAAGTTTTCAAACCCCATAACCCATAACCTCGGAATTCAATTTTTAATCCCATCTTGAACCAGAGCCTCAGAAACAGGCTCATCTCTTTCGTGTCATAAAAACAGCGGCCAAACCAGGAGTGACCAGAAGAGGTAACAATCAGACAGGCTTTGTTGTGATAAAGATCGTATCGCAAAGTATTTAAAGAATGTTTTAATTTCAAAACGATCTGGTCTGAAACTATGCAACTGGCTAAATTAAATTTGTATGGGTTTAATGTTAAAAACTGACGTCACCGGCAAAAATTCCCATTTTAATTTTTGCCTCAAAACGCACCATGATTAACATTTAACTCACCTCTGCTGTCAGCGAAGCAGTCAGGAGACGTGCTGCCCTCACACGGTGTCCACGACGAGTAGAATATAGAAAATAAACTTCAAACGTAGAAAATGCTGTTGAAAAGTTCATAAGTGCATAATTCCAATTAGTTTAAGGCATTTTAACGACGTATCGTCCACTCTTTTTAAATTCATTGGCTGACTACAGACACCCGTGCCGAAGCGCATCCAGTCTTCCACGATGAGCCAAAAACGAAAGGCTTTAACGATCGCCTTTCTGCTCCGGCAAAAAGGAAAAGCAAAGTCACATCCAGGTCAAGGTTTGAAGAAGACAATGAATTATCTCCTGGTGGTTATTGCATTTCCACACCGCAGAGCTGCGAACTCAAGGTCCCACAACTTTGTTCCTGTTGCTTGTTCACTCCTTATCCCCGATGCTCTCACCACTGTCAATTACTCCGTAGTCAGCGTAAGAAAACGGAAATGCATATCTTTTTCTTTCAAAATAAAAGCATTGGACTGTATAAGTAAAACTTGTTAATCGTTTGGACTACCAGGAGTAACAGAAACAATTGATACTAATTGCTATAGACATTTTATTCATTAAGCTCTAGAAACGTACTACATTAATGCTGACATATACTTGCCTACGACAGAAAGCCTTAACGGCTGTTTATTTGTAAATGCCTTTTACGGATGTATAATGTCAACTCGAGCTAACTTAACGCCAGACTCGCTCTGTTGCCTCTGGCTGTAAAAGTTTTCCTGACGCGGACATGGAAACATGGCGCGGTGAACGTCACGTGACGTAACCAAGCGATTCCCAAAGGGAAACAAAATAAAACACTAAACTCTGATGGTTGAATTTACTGAACTGTAGTGTTCACGTACATGGCGCCTTTTCAAACATTTCCACTTTTAAGGCAACACCATTATATTTAGTCAAGTGGTTCCTGGCAACTTAAGTGGAAATTAAGGGGGAATATTTGGTTAAACAAAACAAAAACACCATAGACAGCAAATTTGCTTTTTGTAAAACACCATAGACAGCAAATTTGCTTTCACAAACATCATTAAAATAAAAAGAGTTTAAGGTGTACCACATCAGATTTAATTTTAAGTTTAAGGTGTACCACATCAGATTTAATTGAAATGCAATGTTCTCATTTTGATGGGAACAAAATTATTTTAACGATACAAATAATAGTTTCAAGGCAAGTGTTTTTTTAATGTTTTATTTATTGCGGTAGTTTTCATCAACATGATTATTAAATAGAACACTTAATCATGTAAATGCAGCCATACATAGAAATAAAATCAGCAGAAATTATAAACATCAATGTCTTCAGATTAATTGTACAATGGTATCATGGTCTTTAGACATGTTGACCTACAAAAAGAACTCTTTCCTGGATCTAAGTCCACTGAATAAAAGATGCAGGCTTTTTGGGAGGCATCTCAGGGCCCTTGTGGATGCAGAGATGTTGATCTTCTATTGTAAGCGTTCATCCTTAAACCCTCCCTCGTCTCAGTTGTCAGTCTTCTTTTGTGGATGCTTTCTTACACAGCTCATACACAAAGCTCAGTTTCACAAATTAGTGCTCTCTTTGGCTTCAGACGCCTATCAAGTGACAGTTTATTTGTTTGGTGGATAATATAGAAGAGGTAATGAACTCAGGAACTCTAATGTGGACATGCACGACCATATTTACTGACAATTATGCATAAAATGAGAAAATCAGCTTTTTCAGGGCTTTGATCCAGAAATTTTGTTGAAAAAATAAATAAATATAATTTTCCATTTTGTTTCTGTTTACAACATTTTCCATGAGATGGCCATGACCAAAGATCGGCGAGTCATTTGGCAGCACTCCTTTAATATTACTTTTACAGAGGCGCATGTGTGGGTGTTCAATAGACCTTAATAAGGGCTTTCGGTGCCCTCTTCTGTCCAAAAAGTGCAACTACATCAAAGTTGTGAATTTGAAGCTCAGCCTTTATTGTACTACAACGCTTCACTTGCAAGCTACCAGTAAAAGAATCGAACTAAAACCTACCGACCGATAATGCACAGAAGAGCACGGAACAGTCCTTTCAGATTGTTGGCAATAACACAAAAAATAACTAGACGTGGCCCAACACAATAATATTAATATGTTGTCACTTTGTTTAAATTTATTAAATTTGTGTCAGGTTTGTCAGGTTATTTTGTCAGGTTTTATGTAAAATAAACCTTAATAATAGCAAATGCTATTATTTTCCACAGAATATCGCCGTCTACTGGCCAGCACAACCAGCTGCACGCTACAAGTGTTCGGCAATCATCATGACAGATAAACGCAGCATTCGCGGTGTGCGGGAGAAAAAGAAGAACAACAATAACAATAATTATAATAATTTGGTGATTTTTTTTGTATAAAAATTGTGATATGGGGACAGCAACACATTGTAAATGTTTAGGCAACGAAAGCTTATTGAGCTTGATTGTTCATAATGAGCAATGAAAATAAATGTGAGTTGCATTGCTTAATTCCTCCTTTACAGAGCAAATACATGTCATTTTATCTGTGAGGAATATTTATTGAGAAACGATACAATGTTCAAAAGAATTACCAGGAGTGGGGTTCGAACCCACGCGGACATATGTCCATTGGATCTTAAGTCCAACGCCTTAACCACTCGGCCATCCTGGTTGACGTTCAGTACCGACGGTACTCTGTTTTTTAAAGATAAGAGCACTTATATCACGTTTTTGTTCTGATTTCTATCAACGGTGCAGCTAAAACGCTAACAACAACATAGCTTTTTAAGCAGGATCGATCGGGACATGGTAATTCAACTGCCGCCAACTGTCATTAGTTTAGCTAACGTAACGACTTCCGGTCGTCATTAGTTGCACATCGTAATTGTGCAACTTTAGAAGAATGTACCACTGCTTATTATTAAGAAATAAATAAACCTCATGGTAACTTATCTGATAGGATTCGCCAGCGAAGTCTACTGCCACATGCATCTCCCGCTTGTATCTAACAGTGAAAGCAAAAGAGGTGCAGCTGCGGAATGTTTGCAGCACAGGAAGTATGTCTACGAATAAACTTCATTGACTAACACACATTCCGAATGACGTTGTGTGGACGATTTTATCATGCATACATGCCAGAAGACAAAACATTTATTTTATGTATTGCATTTTAATTTCTGTTATATTTAGTAGTTTTTAAAAAATCACACAATGCACCCTAAAGTCAACACGTGATCAAATATGACAGAACAGAGGACACATTGATTTAACTTTACTTTTACGAAAATGCTTGATTAAAAATGCAATTAACATTATATTATCTCAACGTAATCTTTTATTTTAGATAGCTGGTAACATTAAACCTTCAATGTAAAAAATACAATTACTCCCATTTTTCTCATACATATCCTGGTGTTCTGATTTTCATAGAAAGGGTGATACGTATCCTAAAATGGTTGGCTACTTCTCCAACATGGTAGACAAGGACACAGTTGTAGAAAAGGGTTTTTCCTCTTGTACTGTGTGGCTTTTTTATTGTGAATATACAAGGCAGTGAAATACATATTTTCATGAAACTTTCTGAATTTTTTATATAAGTTCACAATATTTTTGGACAACTTTATAAAGATATTCCATGGACATTTTTGTTTTTGCAAACCCCTCCAAAAAAAAAAAAATGCAGTTAAAACATGTCACACCGTTCCATAGTTTCATCAATTTATTTGGAGGTTCTTTACAGAAAGATACTTGTCTTAAATACATCATTAAATATTACATATTAAACTGGAGCACATTCTTCAACCCTTCAACTTTGTCTGTTTTTTTAATCAACACATGGGAAACAGCTGCAAAACATCTTCCTGAATGGGTTGTTCTTGTCATGACGCTTGGCTCTGCCCAGTTTGACCAGACAATCCTGTATGTATTCATCTGTTTTCTGAACGTTGGTTTGGATGGAGGTCAGCATGGACCCCTGCTCCTCCACCAGCAGCGCTATGTCCAGGAAAATCTCATGTATGCCTTTGATACGGCTCTCCAGATCCAACAACTCTTGGTGACGTTTCTCAATCTGCGTGAGAGCCGACTTGGCAGTTTTACCTTCAGTCACAATGTTGTCAGTAAAGATGTTCCACTGGCCAGCCTCAATCATCTCCTCCACCTCCTCCCCGCTCACCTCTCGCCCCACTATCTCCATCTGCCTTTGGATCTGGATTTTACAGTTCTCCCTGTGGGTCATCTCAGTTTCATTATAGTCAAACATGGCGTCACGGAAACCATTACTGAGGCAAGCAAACTGGGTTCTAGCAATACGTGTGACGGGGGAATTGGAACCGTGCGTTTCCTCTAACTTGTGGGCCGTGCTGTCCATGTCTCGCAGCTGGCCTAAAACATTCTCAGCCCGGGATTTTATATCGGCCCCAATGGCGTTTGAGTCTCTTTTGATGGTGCTCATTGTGGTTGCGCCGTGGAACATACGAGAGTTCTGCTCGCGTAGCCTTTTAACCTCCAGACGGATGAGTTGGACCTCCTTGTGGATGTCTTGTGATTGGGAGAAGATTTCTGTCAGAGCGGGGCTGTTGTCATAAACAACAGCCTCATGTTGCAGTTCGTCCTCCTCCAGGTCCACATTACTAAGAGAGTCGGACGTAGACTCTGCATACTCCATCTGCTCCATAGGTCCACTGGACACTTCCTGTAGGTGGCTGAGTCTGTCCCTCATGGTGAAGGCTGAGAACAGGTCAAAGGAATGGATTAGGTACAGGAGTGTGGCACCACAACCAAGTCAGAAATGCTGCTAATGTATCTACAAATGACATGTTTAAACACATACATTCCTTCGTTTAGGAGACAATGACAATGTTTTCCTTCTTCCTTTAGTGTCGAACCACCCAGTAACCATCACCGGCCCAACAGGTTCTTCAAAGAACACTGTGAGGTGTTGCTGCTCACCAAACTAGTTTCCTTTAACTTATGATTTGTCTGACGTCTTTTCTCACACATTCGTTCCATAAAGTGTGGCTAATAGTGCACATTACAAACTTTTTAATTAAAAATAAAAGTATTTTCAATGTTACATCAAGCACCTGAACACATTTCATGGGAGATTGGATTTTGTCTTATCTTGAGGAATTGAGTTTTCTTTTTAGGTTTAAATCAAATGTAAAAATGTAAATTTTTGTCTTATCTTGAGGAATTAAGTTTTCTTTTATGGTTTAAATCAAATGTAAAAATGTAAATATCTGGAGGGGGTCTGCAGTTAATTTAGCATGTTGAAATGAACTGGATTTAATAATCAGAATGATTTATTCTGACAAACCAGACTTTAATGTGACAGTCATACGAATACAAAAAAAACTATCCCAGAACCTAACCTCTAAACATCTGCAGCTGCTTTGTCTAATATTATATTTTAGCGATTGTAAATTTGGCAAATTTAACAAATTACATAAATATGATCTGTCCATCCATAACTTGATAAAAATCATTCAAAAGCTTCAAGCAAAATTGAAAAAAAAAGGTGAATAACTAAAATAATATTTTCTTTAACTTAATCAAATGTAAAGAGCAAGTATTCTTTTTTTTACCTTTCTGGTTCTGGTGTCCACAACAATCAAACGCTGTCCTTCAGTGTGTGCTGTCCACTGCACGGTGCCACAGCACCATCACCAGATTTGAGGTCGACTGCTCCGGACTGGGAGCGAAAACAAAGGGCGCAGTTTCGGCTATCTTTAGAGCAGAGAAGTAAAGTCGTACGGTGGTTTTGTTGGAGGTGACGGGGTTGTGCCACTGCCACGTGAATGTCATCATGATGTGACTTCAGGAATGAGGCCCGGTCAGTTTGGCCTCGCACCGACGATGTGTCTCCGGTGCGTCAGTAGTAAAAAGATGATGTGCGTGCGTAAAAGCCTAATTTAAACTTGCACGACATACGTGATTATCTTCAAAGAATAACATTCAAGTGATTTCATGTTAAATGTAGACAAAAACAACAACAAAAAAGACAAAAACGATGTCGCTGTAGAAAACAAAATTGTACTTTTTTTTAACCTTCAATCTGTCGGAATTTAAATGAAACAATAAATGTGTTTCTGTAGTTTGTTAGTTAGTTTAACTAAAGTTAATTCAACTAAATTTGACCATTAACTGTTTTAGCCAGGCCTTGAACTTTGTGGTAATTTCTTTGATGTTTCAATAATTTGTATTTTATATTTTCCTATTGTAACACATGCTGGATTTTATTTATATAAAGTATTTACTCATTGTGTTTTGTAAGCCGTAACTATCAATCAAAAACAAAATGTTTGAATAAACAGTAAGAGTTTCAATGGTGACGATACCTGGTGGTGATGAAAATGACGAGGGGAAATGACGTCATGAATTCATTAGCCACGCCCAACTGGTTCAACTACCACCGTGTGGTTTTGAAGGCACACGATCAACGCTAAGTGGATTTGTCTGTTCTCCAAAATGTAATAAATTATTTACTGACGCTTTGCTTCTGTGAATACAGTCCAATTAAATTATTTTTGCTTTGTATGCAACCAAAACATACCTCTTTCCCCTTCTATTATATCACCTTCTTTATTTTTACTATATAAAACCACAATACCTAACTTGACCACCAGAAGATGCTAACAATACGTCTAAAAATAGGCATGTTTTATACATACATACTGTATGTGTGCGGAATAACGATTTATATTTACATGCCATTCAGTTACACTTTATTTTGCAACTGCAGTTAGTTAAAAGTCTTTATGTGATTCAATACTTCTATTGTAATTATTAACTGTAAACTTGCTATGAATTAACTACTCTGATTGTATGTCCAATATACGTTTGTTTGCTTTTAATAATTTAGAAGCTCCTTCTACAAATACAAACCCTTGCTCACGTGTTGGACTGGTCAAGCAGAAACTCTGCTCCCAGAATGTTACGCTGCACATTTGTCAGCACATTCTATGACCCTTGATCCTTTGACCTCTGAGGGCTTCTCTCAACTTTACACTTCCAGCCGGGTTTCAGATTTTCTTTAGTAAGCCTTAGACAGTTTATCAGACGTTCGTCTGATACGTCTGATAAGACAAACAAAGAAGAAACTTACGAAAGATTACACACAAATACAATCAAACAATAAAACAAAAAAAAATTAGTACTACAAATAAAATAATAAAATATTCTACAAAAGTTACCATACGCGCATAACCTATTGAGTTAATGTGTGCGAAAATAAAAACAGCTAAATCGTCCAAAAATGAATGTAGGTCAAATTCTATGAACCTATTTGACCAGCCAGTATTTGTAAACTTGCTGCATTCATGTGTTCCACGGATTTTTACGTTCTACTATTAAAAGTAGTGTGGTTTTCTTAATTACCAAAGCACCCACTCCATTCAGTCACTTTGGTTTTTGAATCATTTTTAAAAAACAATAATGTTTTAAACCAGACGAATGCGATTAAAACCAAAAAGTTGTCTGTAAAAGGTGTCGATAAAAACTGCGCGCGACGCACAGTGCTTACATTTCCAACAGTCCCAGAACACACCGTACCTCCGCTGACCTGGACATCCGCCACCATCACAACTTTCTTATTGTCCCTCCCGCAGGAGGTTGGAGCCACCGATCACTACCTCAAGAATATACAGAAAGTCTGATCTGATCCTGACACAAGCTAAAATAATATGAAGCTCTCGTTGCTCCGTAGTGCCTATGGCAGTATAAGGATACATCCAGGAAGCAGAGTCAGCGGTGTGTCGCGAAGATGCTTGCTGGCCACTGGTGCCAAATACCGGTTAGTTTTCCGGGAAGCCAGCACCTCCACCAGCGGCGGTCCCAGTCCGAAAATAGCGGTCAACTCCGGGATAAAGTTCTGGAAGGATGATGATTTGGACTGTGACACAGTTCTGAAGTAAGACCAAACATAATTTATTAAATTTTGTTTTTTAAATAAACAAACCAAAACCATTAGATTGCTTTACGTCATTTGCTATGCTTTATTAATGTATTTTTTGAAGAAGTGGTAGCTTAAAGAGGTTAACTGTTACTTCCGATACTTTTACCGACTTTAAGGCTTTATTGGAAAGTCGCCAGTTTTTCACGTGCGCTTGATTCATCAGTGGGTTTCAGGCTGCTGATGTAACTTCCCTGTCTGGTTACCAGGCAGTCTATGCCCAATGTGCTCGTATCCACAGATGAGAACGTTTAGAAGTGATGCTGAAACGTTAATTAACACGGTTATTACCCTGTGGTGCACCTAAAGTGTAAACGGCCTCTTTCACTGAACGAGGACATCTTGGAGTGAGTCGCCCAGTTTTTCCAAACACTGGGAGGAAATCCATGAATTACTGAGTGGAGAATTGGTTTTGGGTCAGTCATTAACAGAGGCCGTTTTTTCAGGGATACCTTACTTATACTGTTGTTAATACCATATACTATAACATTGTCAATTTATGTCAACATTGCATGTGTTCTTAATGTAAAACCAGTGTAATGTCCCAAATGTACATTATTGTCTACAGTTAACTTGCTGAAGACTATACTGCTATGTTGATGTACTGTCACAACTGAAAATAAAGATTATATATAAAACAAATGTGTGTCTTCATTTTATTAGTAGTGAATGCTCCAGATTTTTGACTGGAGAAACTGAAGGCAGAATTGGAGTCACAACAATAAAGAATAGTGTTGATTTTACATGACAAGTTTAAAAAAATGTATTCATGTTTTCTTCTGAATTTAATATTGTCTGTAAAAGAAAAAAGTAAAGAGAGTTTTCCAATAGCAACCCAATTCATTCCTACAGAAAATGTGGAGATAACAAAATGGTATTAAAAATGTATTCACATTCATACTAAACTGTTTCAATCTCTGACAGGAAAGCAGTTGAGAGCACCAATGAGGCCATGTTGGCTCTGCAGAGGAGAAGTCGCTCTGTCCAACCCATGTTAGCCATTATACAGGTATGTGTTGAGTTGCTTGTCTATGTCTGTAACACAGTATTCTTTTCAGCTGAGTGTATTCTCTAGTCTTTGATCTTGTCCCTAAGAACAAAACACATTTAAATGATGTTTACTGTGAAACTGACTGCTGTGTCACCCTTGTAAATGTTTGCATTTACCCTTTAGGTTAAATGTTAGACCTGTGTTCAAATATTTAGGGAGTGTGTTTTTTTTTTTTTTTCTTGAGCTGTTAGACCTGTGTTCAAATATTTAGAGAGTGTGTTTTTTTTTAATGTGGCAATATGTTTTATCTCCAAGGCAGGGGAAGAAGACAAGCTATTGGAGATCAATAAGAAAATGGCAGAAAAGGTATTTTGTTTTTTTTCTCACTATTCTGTTTCTCCTGTGTAATATATTTATTTTCCTAAAAAGTGTAATTTTTGATAATAATTTGTTTGGTACTGTTTCCACACAGTTTGGTTTGAACATCACTCAAATTTGCCTGGCAGAGGACTGCAGCGAGGACGAGGTAAGATATCAGTGACATTCTTATCCTCTCCTGTCTAAACATTTATTTTGTGAAAACTGGTTTTTCAGCTGTTTGTCATGTCAGTGCATGTGATGCTCCACCCTGTGGTGGTTTGTTAATAACACAGGTAAACATGTAGGTGCTGTGAAATGTACTTGTTGTAACTTTTCAAATTTTCCACATCTATAAATCATTACTGACTCCTTTTCCTGAGTGTTTCCAAACCAGTGCTCCTTAGATCATGTTCTACATGTAACAGAGTGTTGGGCATTGCCCTCACAGCTGGAGGCTTTTTTGTCTTCAGCAGTTGACTGTTGATACGAGCTAAAAGAAAGCCTTTGGGAATGACCGAGAGGCTTGACTCAGCTGACAGTGGATGATTTACATCACTGTGACCTGGGACGACTCTGCCGCTCTATTCGTCTCCTGCTTTACATTAGTACCACTCCTTCCCCCATTTGTCCACTCCCAGGAGGAATTCATGCCCCCCCCACCCCTTTACTCAGCAGCACTCTTTCGATGAATTTAATAGTTTTTAAGTGGTTTAAAGCTAAAAAAGTTTTTTGTGGATTTACTTCTGCATTTGTTAAATGTTTTTTGGTAATATTTTAATGATGTATTTTACCAACCCTCTGTCTTCAGGTCATAGAGGAAGTGTTGAAACTTAATGAGGACCCCAGGGTGCACGGCATCTACCTCCACCTTCCCCCGGCTTCACTCACAAGTCGTGTGCTTGACACCCTGAAACCTGAGAAGGACGTAGATGGGTAAAACAGTTAACTTAGTCTGGAATAGATTGCCACAGTATCTTTTAAGATTTCATGTAGAAAAAGACAGAATATTATTAAGCATATTTAATGTGAGTTACAAATTCTACTGAACTGAGTTAATCAGTAACGCATGTCTGTCAGAATGGAAGAAAAATTGACCCTTTCTTGTAGAATCTAATCTAATATGGGCCCTCACGGTGATACTGACCAGCCAAATTAGCACTAGGATTAATTATGTTAACTGCAGTTCTAGGCTTAGCCAATAACTAAAAAATAATTTCTGCCACAGCATAACAGATCTAAATTTGGGGCGCCTGGTTCGTGGAGACTTGAGCAGAGGCTTTGTCTCAC